GCAGAGCAAGGAGCCTGATGTGGGGCTCGATCCCAGGACCCTGGGATCATGACCTGAGCTGAAGGCAGATGCTTAATGACTGAGCCACCCAGGTGCCCCTCAAATAATGTTTAATGTAAAATTTAATTGCCATTATTACATGACTGTAGTTGGCAAAAGTGGTTACATATTTTATCTCTCCAATAAATTATTTATGGAAGACACCCACCCCCCAAAAAAAACAAACCTCAAGAACAAAAAGAGAAAGTACTCATTTGGAGTAACTGTCATTTTAGTTAATTATTATGTGCCCGACTTCTAGGCAAAATGTTTTTCGGACCATAAGAAGGTTCACGGTATACAAGTAGTCATCATTATCAGCAACAATAACAAACACCTATAAAGCACTTATAGAAGGTCAAGTCTTTCTGCTGCTGCGGTCATGGTTAAGTTCAAATAAACTGAGTGCCTTCTAAAAGGAAATCATTGTATGGAGCGCTGGTGCTGGAACAACTGGGAATCCGTATTAAAAATCTTAAGTATAGGGGTAACTGGGTAGCTCGGTTGGTTGAGCGTACGACTGGATTTCGGCTTAGGATCCTGGGTCAAGCCCTAGGTCAGGATCCATGCTGGGTGTGGAGCTGCTTAGGACTCTTTCTTTACCTCTCCCTCTGCCCCTCCCCCATCCCCGTTCCCACACAAAAAAGACTACTACTCAGTAATAAACGGGCATGGATTGTTGATGTACACAACATGGATAAATCTCAAATGCATTATGCTGAGTGAAAGAACCCCATATCAAAGGATAGGTACGTAGTATTTCATCTGTGATATTCTGATAAAAGTAAAAATATAGGGAGGCGCCTGGGTGGCTCAGTTGGTTGAGTGTCTGACTTCAGCTCAGGACATGATCTCAGGGTCCTGGGGTCAGCTCTGTGTTGGCCGGCGATCAGCGGGGAGTCTGCCTCTCCCTCTCCCTCTGCCCCTCACCCACTCATGCTCACACGCTCTCTCTCTGTCTCTCAAATAAATAAAATCTTTAAAAAATGTAAAACTAGGGGCGCCTGCGTGGCTCAGTCGGTTAAGTGTGTGCCTTCGGCTCAGGTCATGATCGCAGGATCCTGGGTTCAAGCCCCACGTCGGGCTCCCTGCTCGGCGGGAAGCCTGCTTCTCCCTCTCCCATGCCCCCTGCGTGTGTTCCCTCTCTCGCTGTGTCTCTCTCTGCCAAATAAATAAATAAAATCTTTAAAATAAATAAATAAATAAAAGTGACTAGTGTTAAAAAAAAAAAAAAAAGATATCATCTTCGGAGTGCCTGGGTTGTTCAGTCAGTTAAGCAGCTACCTTCAGCCCAGGTCATGATCCCTGGGTCCTGTTTCTCCCTCTCCCGAACTTGTGCATGCACTCTCTCTCTCTCTCAAATAAATAAAGTCTTTAAAAATTTTTAAAAATAAAAGATATCATCTTCTGCTATCAGAATATTCTTTCTCCTAATGTGATATGTAGAATTGTAAATCTTGAAGGGACCCCCAAAGCATTACAGGAGGATTTTAAGTACTCATTTCCTGGCTATTATATTACCTCTTTATCTGACTAAATCCACAGACTTCTAGCTTCAGCCACATTCCAAAATGCCACCTATTTAACTTTCCCTTGCTACTGGAAATCAACTTTAAATTGTTAAAAAGAATCTAAATGCCAAATTAATGGGAGATTAAAATAGATGAAAGGATGTTCTTTCCTGAACTAGGCTTTAATCTAGGATCAACTATGACTAGAAATCCTTTGGCTCTGGGAAGGAGGCTGCAGACCTTGAGGAGGAAAGACAATTAGAAACTAAACTGGGAAATCAGGAATGCTCTGGAATGTTCATAGATTCAATCCCATAGATAGGTTGGCAACAACCCACACATTTAATTAAATGGTACAATATTTATTAAAATGCTCTGTAAACAATAATGAACTAGACTATTAAAAAACCAACCAATTCTGAATGATTTGTAATATTAGTCTTATACACATATTAGCAAGTCTCTACCGCACTTACACTTCTAATTATACGAAACAGTTTGAAAGGAGTCCAGCTCAAATCATTGTATCAGGGATTGTTTCATTTTAAGGGAAAAGGGGTCCTGTTTTTGAGCCCACAGCTAAGAATACACGATACTAAAGACTACCCTCCCCTGGGAACCTGGCTGGTTCAGTCAGTGGATAGTGGGACTCTTGATCGCAAGGTCATGAGTTCAAACCCCACATTGGGTGTAGAGATTACTTTATAAAAAAAAAAAAGACCTACCCCCCCTAACCCATTCTGTGTTTGAAGAAGCATCAGCTTTTGGAGTCTATCCCTTCCTCATTGGGTCTAGTGAGAGGTACCAGTTAAGAAAACACAAACCCCCACTATTATCCCCTCCCTCCTGTAAGGGAAGACAGGAACAAGGAAAGTTGCATTTTAGAGGGAATACAGTGTTCTAAAGAGAGGACATTCTCTTTCCTTACATTGGGAAGGAGAGTAGAGAATGTCCCCCTTCCCTAAGACCAGGAAGGGAGTTACCAAAAGAATCATTCATAAAGTAGAGGTCCTTGAACCCTCTGAACCATTACCTGCCTCAGTAAGTTGAGAATCCATGATTGCCTCTGGTCTAAAAATTGCTGAGCCATTCTCCTGATGCTGCTAGGGAATAGAAAAAAGAGACATGAGAGGGGTGCCCGGCTGGCTCAGTCAGTAGGCTTAGTCAGTAGACACTTGATCTTAGGGTCATGAGTTCAAGCCCCACATAGGGCAGAGAGCTTACTTAAATACATAAATAAAATTTTTTAAAAGATTTTATTTATTTATCTGAGGATGAGAGAGAGAACACGAGAGGAGAGAGGGTCAGAAACAGAAGCAGACTCCCCGCTGAGCAGGGAGCCCAATGTGGGACTCGATCCTGGGACTCCAGGATCATGACCTGAGCCGAAGGCAGTCGCTTATCCAACTGAGCCACCCAGGCACCCCCATAAATAAAATTTTAAATATTTTTTAAAAAGACATGAGAAAGTGGGTAAAGCTGAGAGAGGGGGTGTCAGCTGAGTAGGGGGGCAGTCTGCATACCTACTGTTTGGAATGGCAAGTTTCCCAAGACTCAAGTTGTACTACATGGTATAGCAAGGCCCTAGAACTGCCCCATCACCACACAAGCACAAAAGCACGTGCAATGCATGCCCATACCAGCCATGTATTATCTCCAGCTCAAGCAGGCAAAAAAACTCCAACTCCGAATTCTGAGAGAAAAACCAATTCGCCCAGCTTAGTGCACTCCTGGTCCAACTGGCTAGGGACTGAAGAGCAATACTATGTGTGAGCAAACTCTTAGAGAAGGAGGCATTGGCAAGCTCATTTAAAGAAGGGGATGGAAAGTAAATGAGAGACATTACAGCACAGTTTATCTGCAACCGATATTTTGATGATAACAATTTGGGAAACTGGCCCATTGTAAGAGAAGATATATTCCTTTTCCTAACTAAATCTTCCATTTTGAGGTAATATCAAATAATAGACCTGTAATATCAAATAATGTTTATTTTTTTAAATGTCTATTTTTTAAAAAAATTTTTATTTATTTTTTGACAGAGAGACAACGAGAGAGGGAACACAAACAGGGGGAGTGGGAGAGGGAGAAGCAGGCTTCCCGCAGAGCAAGGAGCCTGATGTGGGGCTCGATCCCAGGACCCTGGGATCATGACCTGAGCTGAAGGCAGATGCTTAATGACTGAGCCACCCAGGTGCCCCTCAAATAATGTTTAATGTAAAATTTAATTGCCATTATTACATGACTGTAGTTGGCAAAAGTGGTTACATATTTTATCTCTCCAATAAATTATTTATGGAAGACACCCACCCCCCAAAAAAAACAAACCTCAAGAACAAAAAGAGAAAGTACTCATTTGGAGTAACTGTCATTTTAGTTAATTATTATGTGCCCGACTTCTAGGCAAAATGTTTTTCGGACCATAAGAAGGTTCACGGTATACAAGTAGTCATCATTATCAGCAACAATAACAAACACCTATAAAGCACTTATAGAAGGTCAAGTCTTTCTGCTGCTGCGGTCATGGTTAAGTTCAAATAAACTGAGTGCCTTCTAAAAGGAAATCATTGTATGGAGCGCTGGTGCTGGAACAACTGGGAATCCGTATTAAAAATCTTAAGTATAGGGGTAACTGGGTAGCTCGGTTGGTTGAGCGTACGACTGGATTTCGGCTTAGGATCCTGGGTCAAGCCCTAGGTCAGGATCCATGCTGGGTGTGGAGCTGCTTAGGACTCTTTCTTTACCTCTCCCTCTGCCCCTCCCCCATCCCCGTTCCCACACAAAAAAGACTACTACTCAGTAATAAACGGGCATGGATTGTTGATGTACACAACATGGATAAATCTCAAATGCATTATGCTGAGTGAAAGAACCCCATATCAAAGGATAGGTACGTAGTATTTCATCTGTGATATTCTGATAAAAGTAAAAATATAGGGAGGCGCCTGGGTGGCTCAGTTGGTTGAGTGTCTGACTTCAGCTCAGGACATGATCTCAGGGTCCTGGGGTCAGCTCTGTGTTGGCCGGCGATCAGCGGGGAGTCTGCCTCTCCCTCTCCCTCTGCCCCTCACCCACTCATGCTCACACGCTCTCTCTCTGTCTCTCAAATAAATAAAATCTTTAAAAAATGTAAAACTAGGGGCGCCTGCGTGGCTCAGTCGGTTAAGTGTGTGCCTTCGGCTCAGGTCATGATC